TTTGCTTGCTCTGAGTTTTTTTTTCGCTGCTGTAGCATCGTAAGAGAGTGAGCTGAGGGGCTAGGTTGATACTCCTTTACTACTTTTTGGCTGTATCTGATAGTTCGTATAGGCTAGGATGTATCGGAGGCTTATAGGAGGGAGAGGGACTGTGAGAGGATAGTGTAGCTGACTCATCCCATGCCTCTTACTTAAAAGCAATAGGCACGATAAATCCCCAAGACGAGTAGGATTAATACGCCTGGCAGGACGGAATTCCGCGACCCTGAGCAGGCGCTGCATAATGCCTTTTCCAAGGAAGGTGCCCTTATAAGGCCCTATCAAGCCACAACATTCCGACCCAAACGGAACGTTCCTAACGCTCTGATCGATTCATTTGCTAAGCAAATTATGAAGCGAAGGGATTGGTATGAAGCGGCCGTGTTGCATGGATATATGAGTACACATATGCAGCCGTACCTTCGGTAGCGGTTATTGGCAAGATGCCTACGGGAAACTCGTCCTTCATTGGTTGGTTTCGAAATTGATTTTGAACACATTGAGAACGGAGGCTTTTTCTTCGCAGGATTTTGACCGTTTCACTCCGTTCTTTCGCCATTTCCCCACTATATAGCGCCCTACTAGCATTTTAGGCCGAGCACCAAATCATCGTGCCAACTGCCTTTGAGGCTGGCGAACGGCATCAGTGTGGGGCGCGCTTCAAGGACCGTCAGGATAGTCACCGCCATCCACCCCTCTATGGCCTACCTCGCCTCGTGGCCTTGCCCACTATCGACGATGGCGCAGCTACCAGCTGCCATATTGCTATTGGACGCTACTGACTGTAATTGCCACCTCCATTCTTCTGCAGCCCTTTTTTCGCGCCAGACAACTCGTCCAGATCGCCGATCACCTTCATTAGCATAACTGATCGACCTACATTGTACCATGCCAGCAAGGCGCCGATTAAAGTACTGCTGAATTGTATGAGCATTTTCGTCTGTTTCCGAGCTAACTAAATTTTCCGACAGATCCTTCGATGCGGACCACAATTGTGCTTCTGTCGGGAAAAG